TTATTTTTTTCTCTAAAAAAAATAATTTTTGAAATTTTCATTCATTAAAACCAAATATTATTAATTATATTTATTTTTATAGCTTCAAACGTTTAAATTTATTGTTGGAAATTCCAAAAATTCATGAGTTTTTTGCATTGCTGGCAACTCTGCATAGCCTGTATGAGCCCGTGACTATGTGGAGAAGTCGTATATGCAATGCAAATAACTGTGAATTCATAGACTTCATTAAGTTGGTAATTAATTAATTTAAATATGCTTAGTTATAACTAACATTAAGCGCTCTAAAAAATAAATGAAATAGTTGTATAAAAATAAAATAGCAAATAAAATAGGAAATATTGCTTTAAATAATTTTAGCTAATTAGTATTAAGTAATTAATTTTAATTGCAAAGAATTTAAAAACAGTTATGTTATATAATATCTGTCTCTTATACACATCTAGATGTGTATAAGAGACAGGGGTTAAGTGCGCAATATTTGCTGCACTTAAAATAATTTTTTAAATTAAAGTTTACATTTTTTTCGCTTTTTATGAAAAAATAGTTTTTTTTTTAATTTTTAGCGTCATGGTTTTAATACAGTTGATTTATTTTCGGTAACCAAAATTTTTGCAGCTTGTAAAGATTAACTATTGGGAACTTGCAACGGATTTGTATGCTTGTGTGTGTGCTTTGTTTTGTTTTCAATTTTTTACAGTTTTATTGACAGCAATTTACATGTATTCAGTCGATGATTTATTTATTCATTATTTTTCCTATAAATACATAAATTGTACAAACATATATTTATGCCTGTATTTCTTTGTGTTAAATCCTTTTGGTTTAGTAACGAAGAAAAGTAAAAAACTGTTTATGAAAAATGCACATTTCGTAAAGTTTGTCGGTATAAACGGCAAGCCGCTACTAATTACATGTAATTAATTTAAATGTCATTATTATTATTTTTTAAACACAATGGAATTATTTTTCTTTTATTTATACACATTTTATTATATAATATTTTGTTTTTTGTTTTGTTTCGTTTCGTTTTGCGTAACATTTTTTGTTTTTGTTTTTATTTTTTGTATATGGTAAGTAATTTAGTTTTGTTCATTCATGGATGGAGATATGTTTGTAACCAATATTATCCACCTTAACTATTAATGCATTTATTTATACATATTTTAAATAATATTTGCGTACTTTTACTTTTAACAGTATGTTAAATATTTAAAAAAAATATATA